TGCATAATCAAATTTATCCACCATATATTTGTTTGTAGCCACAAAAAAATTTACTTGCACATATAATCATTAAAATTATAAATAAAAATTTACTTTCATATTTTAAGATAGGAAACAATCATTACAAATACTTAAAAAAAATAAAAATCTAGTCTTGTTGCTTTTTTTTGGGCCTCATGTTCAATTGGGCCTATAGTATTTAAGCCTCATTTTTTTTATATCTAAAACACAAAATTATATTTGGGAGCCCCTATTTTCAGCCCAAATTTAGGGGCCCAAGGTGCAGGCCTCTCTTGCCTACCCTCAAGGCCGAGCCTGCCCATAGCCCATATCCGCCAAAAGCTCAAAACTTTCCAATGTGTCACAAGATGACAATTCAACTTCAGCTCGTAACTCTTGCATGTGGCATGGTGCCCCAACATGGTGTGTTGGCCCCAAGTAGTCCAACGCACGCCTAACACCGGTGCGTGCATGCTCACCCATGCTTGCACACTAGTAGGTGTCAATCATGCCTCGGTGGCATTCCCATAAATTCTAATATTTGGATATTATTTAGAATTATTGCATTATTCCATTATGACTCCTCAAACGTGTAAGATGTTGCTTTGTGCCAGTCAGAAAATGGCTAAAGATATTATTATATGGGGGCATGACGTGCTTCAACCTGTCTCCCCAACTTGTGATGGGTTACAAATAAGCAACCTTTGGACAACCAAAGGGTGGCTTCTGACATACTATTGAGAGTTGTCTTTCGTCTCCATGTGGGTTTGGGAGCCCAATGGACAATGTCATCAAAGGGCATGAGTATTAACACTACGAGTTACTGTTGGAAAAATGGTTTTTTTTTTTTTTTTGAGACTTTAATGTGAAATTAAAGTGGGTCCCAACCACCAGTTGAGGTGAGTCCAAGTGGGTTTAGATTCTTTGCAATAAGATCTTTACACCACAAAAAGAATGATAAAAAACCATTAAGATTTAAATAAGAAATTGTCTCATAAAATTGGCCTCATGAATGAGGTATTGGGAAAGGTGTGTAACTACCTATCCCACACTGATTGTAAAGGAAAGCATTAATGGGTATTTAAATTCCAAGTTTTTGATAAGGGTGTGAGCTCTTTGGGACATCCAAATTTTCTAAAGGGAGTTATGAATGCTTCAAGCATGGACTTGGGCCAAAACTATGGTCCAAGTTAGTCCTGCAAAAAGTGTCGCACCGCCTGCCCACCCCAACCTGACCGGGCTGGAGCCAAGTCCGGGTCCGTGATCTGTGGGTCATGGATCTTAGGTCTTGGGCTTGAGGCTTGAGGGACTAGATAAGGTTTGGGTTGGGCCGAGTTGGTGGACTATCAACCCAATCTTTTTTGGACTAGGTCAGATTGTGGTGGCTACTGCTCCAGATACAAATTTACACAAGTGTATAAAGTGTGTAACCTCTATAGTTATGGTGGAATTATTCCATCAATTTTGCAAAATTGATTTTTATGCATTGGTTGCTAGCCTTCATGGCTGATGACCTCTCTCCTCTCTTCTCCTTGTGTATATATAGAGCCACCCTCCTTTGGTTTGGTACACGAGTTTTTTGCTCCCTTACTATACTGTTAGTTTGCCCATATAATTCTTCCAAGTGAGAGAGACTACTGCCATTATCAAAGTTTGTTGAAGCTATTCAAAAGGTGCTTCTACTTTAGCTGATATCGATCGTCGTATCTTGGGAGACAAACGCCGGCATACTTCCAACACCTAACGGTGAGGCAGCAAATTTGTTTCAATGAAACTGTGATTATATAGATTTCGGTTTGCGTTTCTTGTCTTATTTCAATTTATCATTTTATTCCAACATGTTATTTGTTCTATATTTTTTTTTCATTGAATTGTAATATCCAGTTTCAATTAGTTCCATTATTTCTTGTTTTGTAATCTGATTTAATTAAATCTGAATCTGTTTATTTTATTTAATATACATTTTGGACAATAGTTACTTCCTAGCAAAAGGTTCAGGCACGCACTTGTTATGCCACTCATTGTAGCATATTGTGGTGTCGTCTCGGATCGAACGGATTAGGCTATCAAGGCATGCCATCATTAAGGCCTTGTGTGCTAACTTATGAACTTTGGCTTGGGTTTAGCTGTAGACACGAGGACCATCTAGCCTAGCTAGCAGTTTGGTGACAACGTCGCTACTCGTGAGAACAATTGAATGTCACAAGGCATTGCCATCATGCAAGGCACATTGTGCGAAGCTTGTAGAAAGGCGGAATGCTAAGTATGGGCCATGGACATATGTTGTCATGCTCATACTACACGTTAGTGCAACACCTCGGGTGTGTAATGACCTTCAGTGGATGGTTTACCATGTCAATGCGTGCATGAGGATTTGAGTTGTGACAGTGCATGAGACCTCAATCACCTATGGCTTTCTGAGACAAGCACAATAAGAGACCTTATTCAAGAGAGGGAAAGCTTGTCAACTAGATTGAGGGTTCTACATTGGTGTGCCTAGTTGGGCAACATTATGTTGGGTCAGTTGTGGACAACACTAACACGGGATGCCTTGAATGAGTTGGACTTAGTTGGGCGAGCCCCTTACACAAGGGCGAGTTTGGTGCCATGAAGTAACATGAAGAAACATGAGCCATGCAGGATGCACTTGCGGACATCTAGTCCACTTGTGGCATGGAAGCCGGAGCTTCCTTATGGAAGTTGTTCTTGCTAGACATAACATTGTGCTTGCATTTGACAAGACGAGTTCAGATTCAACACTCGATGGTCAATGAGAGTCGAGCAAGCTTGACACTTGGTGGAGTTCAAGTGCCACATGAGCAAAATATGTTCCAATGCACGTCTAAAAAGAGCTAGCCCGTGACACAATGGCTTTCTTTTCAGGATAGACTTCTCACCAACCATGTTAGACAATTCAAAAGCATCTCTTCATCTGTTTGCTCAAATTTGACAAATGTTTCCACACTTCAATGTCTTGCATATTCTTAGAGATCGTCCTTATTCCAAGAAGATTTGGAGTGACTTCATTTCTAATTGCATTCGAATTTTTAATAGTGCTCCTCTTGACAAATGGTTGATATAGCCAACTCTACAAATTCAAGCACACATGGGGACACCCAATGGAATATAATTTTCATATCCTTCATAACTTCTAAATAGATTCAGCTGAAGCTGTCTGACTCATAAAGGGAAGCACCACCGACACTCATTACTATAGGGCTCTCATTCTAGATTGCAGATTCCTGTTGCAAAGACATAATTGTAACATTTGCTATATCTTTATGTTACACTTACTGAGATGAGGGTACCCTCATGCTTTTATACCACATTATTTTAGTACCCAGGTGATAGTGTATGGTGGAACTCAACCCAAAAGCTAGCTATTGACGTGAAGGTACCCACGCTTCTATACTTCATATTACTTTAGTACCCGGTAATGTAGGATTTCACTTCACACTTTCGTGAAGTCAGTTAGTTTGCTGATCTCCTAGCAAACCAAGGAGTCAACTGAAACTTGTGAGTGCGCATAATTGAAGAATCACCATGAGACCTATTGGACCCTCTCTATGCTGATGTAATGTGGGTCACAAGGAAAGACTCCTTTTATTCTATTATGTTTATTTCCTTTATACCAAAAAAATAAATAAATGATGAGGATAACTGGATAAGGTCAGCCAATCAGACTAGGGTCATGAGGCCTATCACATGAGCGCATATACAACTCAGGCCAAGGAAGCATGTTTACCCTAGTCCTAGTCAATGAGCACTTAAAAGGTCAAGCCAAAAATCTCTCCTGACAAGGAAGCATAATTCTCGGCACAAAGAAGGGACAATGGTGACAATTAAGGGATTACAATCGCTAACTAAACACCTAACTCTCCCTGACGCAAATTCTCACCCTAAAGCATGCAATCATGAGAACTCAAGAATAATTTTGGGAGAAATTTATTCTCGATAGACTCCAACATAGGCATCAGACGAACCTTGAAAGGGTTTGTATGTTTTGCAAGCTATTGGTCTCGTGAGCCTGCTGTGCAGAAATTACCACCACCACAACACATGCCTGTATCTCCAAGACTCCAACATATTCATCAACATGTTGATCTTGAAATTTTACAAATTACGAATAATAGTAACTTCTCCAATCAAACTAGTTCATATGTCATGTATTGGTTGCCAAATTTCTCTTGCTCAACCAGAACCCCAACAGTTTTCCTCCCAAATTCGGCCACACAGCCTGTCTAAATTCACTAATCAGTGGAAAAAGAAAACTTCATATTACAAATAACAATATCCTTTAGTTTTTGCATTATCCAAACAAATCCTAGACGGTTCATGTCATTCTATCATTTTTATTCTCTCTTTCATTTATAATTTAGCAAAATATGCAGATGGTTTCAAACATCCTGTCTGAGAGCCTGTAACAATCTAAATCCAAAACATTTCAGCCTCATGATTTGCCTGACTTTTTACCTCAACACCAGTAGTTAATATAACCCAAAAAAGTTTCTTCTTTAAATATATACATTTTGCAACTAGAGTAACTTATCACGAGGGGTCATTTTATCCCACATGTTCAGGATAATTTTGTTCAGCTGTGGGACAATTTATCCCGAGTTACGAATTTTGTCACAAAATAATGATATTACCCTTGTTATAGTTGATTACGGGATAATTTATCTCAGGATAACTTCCGTCTTATCTCATCTGCAAACCAAACATAAGAGTTAAACCAAGGACAATGAATCAGTGATGTTATGACAATCACCTTCTTAAAATTTAACAAAACCAGGGCCATAAAATTTGCATGCACCAATTTAGTGCTCTTGCTTGAGTCCATCTTTAGTCATTATGGAAGGAATGTCAACTATAGAAACATATATTGATATCAAGGGTGTAATCACTAACAAGATTATTAAATATAAATACTAACAAAACAACCAAGGTCAATACTATACATCAATTCTTCTCAGATCATAGTTTAGCTGGTCAAGACAGAATAAAACCAGAAAACATAACATGTATTATCACTCATAATGTTTACGAAAGGCGTGCTTATATACAAAAGTAAATATACACACTGAATTCATGACAATCAAAAGCAAATCATTCATGCACTCCAACACAAGTGGACTCGTACGTAATGAGGACATTTATAATAAAAAAAAAAAAAATTATTTATATGTAAATCTAGCATCTTCCCTTGCTTTTCATTGTTCTTCTAAACATGCTGTCTTTTTCACCTGAAGGGGTCTGCAAGAAGGGAGTAGGAAAAGAAGTTCAGATATACAAGCTTCCATGTTCCTCAATTGGTTTAATGTCATTTTTGGATCATGATAGCTAGTTGTCCTTAACATAAACATCTTACATAGTAACTTTAAGTTAATGGTATTTAAAATGATAAATTTATTTGTTAGCTAATACATTTAGTAACACAAGGTTTATGATTAGATCATCAACTAAGCCATTTCATTCTCTAATATGATTATTTATTATTTGTAGTAATCATTGGAGAGTATATATAGCTTATACCTTTGCATTAAACTCTCATGTGCAAGTGTTGTATAATGATTTTATAACTGATGGGTATATATCTTGTGATTGATGGCTATGGAATTTTCATATAACTCTAATATCTAAGCCAGGTATCGTTTGGATTGTATATATTTCATGTGTCCGTTATATACACAAAATGTAACATATTGGCACTTTATGATATTATTTTAGGCCCCTTCTTTTGAAAGTTAGTTTGTATCTTCATCTTCTACCTTCTTCTAAGAATTATGTAATATGCATGTAAGTGAATTTGTTAACTTTTTTTTCGATAATGAGACAACAAAAGAGTTGTTCTTGGCATCTTCGCATTGCAAGTGCATGGTTGCAGAGAAGCAATAGTTGAATCCTAGAAGGCAGGCCGCCATAACCTGTTGTACTAGATCACGTACTCAAATGGGTTTGATCTATTCTTAAAGATAGTGTGATACACTCTTCTGTTGATAAAGTTTTTGTTACTTTGTATAAGTTTTTCATCTATTTTATAATAATTATTTTTTCAATTTAAAGAATGTTATTTGTAACCCCTCATTTCCAACATCTTATACATGTGACGTTGAACATGAAGAATGTAGCAATTGACAGTTTTAATTTATTTTTTCCTCAACTCAAATCTGAAAGAAACTAATGTAAGGTCTAACATACAAGAATAAGCAAATATTATACTTAGATAGTGTTGAGAATGGACCTTCCATGCACAGGTATCAGACAAGGAGAGGACTTTGTTCTAAGATTTCTTTCCCTGTAATGCCTTCTTTCAATGTTTTGAAGTAAATATTGTAATCTTTCTCAGGTGGGGGGTTTTCAGGGTCCACCGTGTATGGCTCACTAAATGGAATAACACTCTTAACCTGCAAAATGAGGAGGGAAAGGAAAATGTGATTATGGTACAAAACCCACTGGCGACATTTATTTTACAGAGCTAAAACATTAATTTAGCTCCAAGCTAGAGAATGAAGGTGTAAAAATAATAAAACACCACCACTTCAAGGTAAATCAAACAAGAAAATTACTGCTTTCACCAATTGATTGTTTACCATGGTGCATCATTCAAAACGGAATCAGCAAGATTCAATCCAACATCATGTAACTTAATGATCAATCCAACTCAATCATGTAGAGTTGAAAGATTTTACACTCCTTAGCCAATTAAACATGTATTTTTGGTTTTCTTTCCCTTTCATTGAAGAGTTCAACAGCAAATTGATCAAAATAGGATTGAGAAAACTTGCCAAATGTTTTTAAAAAAGTCATAATTGTATGCCTTTAACAGGTTTTAACTTTCAATGGCATTTGCTTAAGTGAAAAACTATTAATGACGAATGCACAAAAGGTCCGGAGAAAAATGAAGTTACAGGATAGGATGAAATGAACACTTGAGCTAGAAAATTCCCACTGGAAATATAAAGAAATGATGTGAAGATAACAATGTTTTTTGGTGTCAATCAAGGAAAAAACATTCAAGATAGAGACTTATTAAATAAATTAAAATTAAAAAATAAAAATAAAGCTCACAACTTTTTTGACCCAAGGTGTAGCTGGCCATCTGAAATTACAGAAGATCTCTCAAGTTTTAAGTTTTCAGTAATGTAAAGCACATCACTTGGTACCATCAGAGTTACATGATTGATTTGAAGTTGATATATCACGTATGTCAAAGCTCACATTCTCCCATGAAAATTTTCTTACAAAATACCACTATAGACATGAATTCAGACCCCTGCATAACTACTAGGAATTCTACATTGAGAGCAACATAATAAGGTGCTATCTGATGCATATATATAAGCAACCTCGTGTACAAAAATAGTATTGGTCTAAAATTATCTCAGCATACACACACACACACACACACATATATATATATTTAAAAAATGCAGGATAAAAAGGGAAAAATCACAATACATTCACCGTTGTTCATGCACAACTGCAGTAGAGAAGTAAAAAAGAAAGGTATATAAAAAAGGATCAAACCTCAAATGTCTTGTCGCAAGCATATGGGCTTTCTAGGGCAGCAACACATATTTGAGCAATCTCTTCTCTGGATATTTTTCCCTGCATATTTCAATCATAAAAAATTTATTCTTGTAAGTGAATGTTTATGAGAATTACCACCAATGCAAATCCTTTTGTTGGATATACTGATATTTATTAGTGACTTTTGAGCAACACATGGACCACCAGAAACAGAGGCAGCAATGAATTCCCCTTTTGCTCAAAAAGCCAAGAAAAATAAGGCCTATTCAATGCTAATTACCGTTATATTGTCTCCTTGATCAAATATGAGATCAGCTCCTGCAGGCTCCTCAGTTAATGCACAAGGCCTTACAATTGTATATGGAATTCCACTTTCCCGAATCAAATCTTCACCCTGTTGCAAAACATACCAATATAAAAAAATAGAAACAAATAATGAATTAACAAAGAATACAACTTCCAATACACAACTGTATGTGACAAGTTATATGGTTCAACTGCTCAAGCAGATGCAGAAGACAGATGAGGACATAACTGCAATGGATGTCAATTGTACGAGAGGTCATGCCTATGAAGGATGGGTACTCCAAAAATTATGCTGTACAGGTACCGGATACTACCTGGTATGACGGATACTACCTGGTATGACTACATGCGTATTGGGTACACGAAATACGTATCCGGTACATTTTTTAAAAAGAAAATTGAATGTTGGGTACAACATGGGTACAAATTGTGTATGGCATGGATACGTATCGGATGCTTTTGTGGGTACGTCAAGGCATAAATGTAATTTTCCGAAACATAGTGGCGTACTAGAATAAACATATTGTGTCTCCTTTTTAAAAACTCCTAAAATAAAAGGTATTTTTGGAAATAGTACTAATTTGAGAAAACACTTGAGAGTTCTTTTCAGTCTCTCGCTCTCTCTCTCTCTCTCTCTCTCTCTCTTCAAATCTAATTTGTACTTTAATTACTTTTCGCATTTGATTTCTAATTGTATATATCATTAATACTATAAATCATTAAAAAAAATAATAATAAAAAAAATTAATTAACATACGCTGGTCTTACCCATATCCTACAATTTTTTTAAAGTTTTTCCGTATCAACATACGTGTATCTGTGCTTCATCCCTCCTGTCAAAACCATAACCTGTTGTGTAATAAACTAACCACTTGCACAGAGATGGTACAAACCTTTAACTTGAAAGTGAGAATAAAGCCCAGTTCCTCGTTCAAGCGGACAGCGGGAGGCTGTTTACTTAAATCAAGTCCAGGTCTGTCAGGTCGGGTTACCCCTGCAGAGCCCACATGAACAAATCTACAAGATGAAACCACAAATTTTTAATTATGCACGGATCCCACGCTTATAAGATTAATTGTTTTCAACCACGATCTAGGAAAAATCAGCAATTTCAGAATAAGAAAATAAAAATAAAAATAAAAATAAAAAGTAGACCTGGGAGTGATGGGGTCTTTAATATATGCTCGTATGCTTGACACTGGAAGCTGAAATGCACCTTCCTTGAATGTTGGATTAAGCTTCCCATCATATTCAAACTTGCTAAACATGAGCTGGAATTTTTTTTTGCATCCATGATCAAGAAAAGGCAACAGAGAAACTCATGAAGCAAAAAAATAGAGAGAAATACTAATTGTAGAAGCATGCCTGCAATGATATGATGCTGCTTGAGTCAAAGGGTGGAGCATCTGACACAGTTCGTGCTCGAAATACGGGTCTCAGAGAAGTAAAAGGCACTCGTACCTGGACATGACAGATCAAAGACTAAAAACATAGAATACTACATACAATCCAACGATCATGTAATCATAATGTTACTTTATTTTTTTTATTTTTTTGCTAATGGGACCCACCCCTAAAGAGTAAACTCCGGACACAAGCAATCACCTACCAACCACATGCATTAGGTAAGTCTACGCATATCACCAGGAAGAATTGCCCAAAATGTCCAGGTTTACGGTTCATTCCAGGGTCCCTTGACCAATGGACCACCCATGCGAGTTGGAAACACACCCCACACAATTTCGCTCATAAGAGTGGAACCCATGCGAGTTAAGAACTTGTAATGTTACTTACTGACTGCCATTGGCCTTCCACAGTGTCAAAACTTGATGTATAACCGACAGTATCCCAATCACGGCTAGTGCGTATAATAAGTTTATACCGACGGCCATCACCTTTAATGCGAAGCTCCAGACCGTCATAAGGAGAAAGATTTTCAGGTACTGAAAAGTTCTGAAATAAAAAACAAGTGAATTTTCTCTATTCAACATAGGAAAATAACATTTACTGATCTAAGTAAAACATATCCAAAGGTTCCCACAAAGAAAATAATTAAAAAACAAAAGATTTTTATCATGAGAACGAATATATTGAAAATGGAACACATTATCTATAAAAATGCTTATGAGAAACAAACTTATAGAGGTATATAAATCAGGGGCAGAGGGTTTCCAAATCAAAAGTCTCAATCAACAACCTCAAGAAACCTTGTAGAGAACCCTAAAACCATTACTCGAAGAGAATCCAAAAGCAGTGCTAGAAATTTAAATTCTACATCCACATGATAAAACATTTTATTGAATTGACAAACTTATTGGAGGAGGTTTCAACAAAAAGCATCTCTAACCTTCCGCTAGAAAACTCATGACCCATCTATGCCTTAAATCCAAACATGTTGCAGTCAGCTAGTAACAACCTACGTCAGACTATGACATAAATTGTGTCATTATTTCCACTTGTATATCCACGACACACGATAAAAACTTTGATATTCGATCATGATAAGAGGGTTAGCCTACAAATATCAATTGGGTTCATTATTGTCACTTGTAAACCCAAGGCCTCATGCAAATTCTGATTTGCAACTCAATAAACATCAATATGGAATGGGATTGTTATAGACTCCACCTTTCCATGTCATCCTCTCTGTAGACCCAACCAATCACGATATGCACAACCAGATCAAGATCAACTCCATTGAACAATAGCCCACAAAATCGTGTGCATCAATTAGCTTTGATACCTTATGTAACAACTCGGATTCAAACACCACAATTGCATGGCGTAATTATTCATGTCATTGATTGTAAATCATTGGGAGCGATTTATGTCCCAAGAATCTTCCATCAATCAATGCATTTTTCTTTTTTTTTTGGGGATTAGTCCATCAATCAATGCTCATTATTCTTATTTATCACATATTATATTGTTTCACTTATAAATATAGGTGGTCTTTATATTCAAAACATATTTTTGCTGTGGATGTAGGCCATGCAGTCAAAACAACATTATATCGGTGCCTTTTTTCTTCTCTAATTTCTCTTTTCTTTAGTCTTAAATGTTAGCATGGTATTAGAGCTGTTTATCAGACCACCATTTTTCTTTCGCTGATCTTCAACCATTTTTTTCTGAATTAATAATTACATATTTTTCCTTCTAAGAACATGTTCATAAAATAAGTGTAACTGAGATGAGAATATATATAGGTTTAATTATATATTTTTCCTCCTTGAAGATTGTTCCTTTCGTCCTTCTCTCCAAATTGGTCCTGTCAAGCTTAATGGTACCAATTACTTGATTTGGTCCCACTCCTACAGTCCTGCTTTGCCTCCCATCGTTTAACTGGCTATATTACCGGTGACATCAAGCAACCAAATGCGGATGAAGCTTTGTCCACTCAATGGATATTTGAGAATACTTTAGTTATGACTTGGATGATCAACTCTATGCAGCCTACCATTAGTTGGACTTTTCTCTTATTGGATACTGCTCACAAGATTTGGGTAGCTACAGCTCAGATGTATTCTCAAAAGGATAATGATGCATAGGCCTATGAGTTAAGAAAGAAGATTTGGGGCTTGAATCAAAAGGATTGCTCTCTTGCGGTATATTATGCTGGGTTGAGTAACTTGTGGCAGGAACTTGATTACTACCAAAGTTCCAGGCTATTTGTTCCAAGGATGCCACTATGTTTCAGTAGTCCGTGGAGAAGGAGCGTGTTTATGAATTTCTTCTTGGTCTGAATTTGGAGTATGATTAGATTCGTGTTCAAGTGTTGGGTCGCTCTCTGCTTCCCATCTTTCATGAGTCTTATGCTCTTGTTCAACAGGAGGAGAGTTGATGTAGTGCTATGGGGCATATCCCTATTCCAGATCGGTCTGTGTTGGTTGCAGTCCCTAAGTCACGTGATACTCAGCTTAGTCAGCCTCAAGTTGGTAGTAAGGGTCCCTTGGTTGATCGGGATCGGTTTAAGGATGATTTGTGGGAAAGACAGACATGATAGGGAGCACTGTTGGAAGTTGCATGGCCATCCTACTCAAGGCCGTAGTTGTGGTAGCGGTGTTCATCCTCAAGCTTGTGTTTTCGAGATTACTGCTAGTGCCCCCGGTGATATGGGTTCTATTTCCCAAAATGAGCTCCGCACTCTCAGACGTTTGATGGCTTGGCTTGATTCTTTATCTACCTTAGCTCCTTTTTCTTCTGTTTCTTCCAACTTTGCTAACATACGTATTTCCACTAGTGCACTTAGTACATTTTCGTTGTTTCATTGGATTATTGATTCTGGGGCTGCCGATCACATGATAGGGCCCTTTAGGTTGCGTTTGGTAGAATTTTTTAAATATGATTTGAGAATAGAGTTGTGTTTTGAGTTTGTGAGTTTTTGAATTATGATTTGAGTGTAGAAAATTTGTTTGGTGAATAAGTTTTGAAAAGAGTTTTGAATTTAGTGAAAAATTTTTGATGTGACATGATATTTGATATAAAAACTTACAACTCATAACCAAACACACAACTCAAAATTCTATTTAAAGCTCACAAAAAAAATTTAAAAATTTCAAATTTTTTTTTTATGTAAAATATAAAAAATAACAGGTGGCATTTGTAAAATAAAATAAAAAATGCACTGTTTCGGTCAACCGGCTGAACGTCCGGGAGGATGATCGGTTAGCCCAAATTTCCCCGCCTTGCAAAGAGTTTTCAAAAGTGACTGTGGAATTAATTTTTGTAAACACTAAACAAACACCACACTCACGGAATTATATTTTGAAAGCTCCACCAAACGGAGCCTTAGTCTTTTCTATTCTTATTCTCCATGTTCTGGGTGAGATAAGGTTAGGGTAGCCGATGGCACTTTATCCTCTATCTCCAATAAGGGTTCAGTTCATTGTTCTCTTTACTTTCTCTTTCATCTATTTTTCATGTGCCTAATTTTTCCACTAACTTCCTTTCTGTTAATAGCCTTACTACTGCTCTCAATTGCTCTATAACCTTTTTTCCTACTTATTATGTCTTTTAGGAACTGGATACGGGAAAAATAATTGGCAGTGGTAGAGGACAAGGTGGACTATACTTTCTGGATGTCATTCCCCTGCATTACCTTTGTCCTCTCAGGCTCTTCAATACACTACTGGCTCTTCTCTTCATCTCCTTTATTAGTGGCATTGTCGTTAAGGTCATCCTTCCTTTAGTATTTTCAAGAAGCTTTTTCCTTCATTAGCTCGAGATTGTATTAAAAATAGTTTTGTTTGTGATGCTTGTGAGCTTCCTAAGTATAAACGTACTTGTTATCCTTCAATTAATAAAAGAAGCACTTTTCCTTTTATGCTTATTCATACCAATGTATGGAACCCTTCCCCTGTGGTTTCTACTCCTGATTATCGGTGGTTTGTTACTTTTATTGATTGTTATTCTCATGTGACTTGGATTTATTTACTTCGAACTAAAAATGATATTTTCTTATGCTTCCAAATTTTTCATAAAATGGTGTCCAATCTCTTTAATGCTACCATCAAAATTTTTCGGAGTGATAATGAGACTGAATATATTGATAGAGCTTTCCGGGCATACTTTAAGGAACATGACATTCTTTATCAGACTAGTAATGTTGGCACTCCTGAGTAGAATAGAGTTGCTAAACGCAAGGATGGTCATCTCTTTGAAGTTGCTCGCTCCCTGTTGTTTACCATGAAAGTTCCTAAGCCTTTTTGGGAGGATATTGTTCTTACCGCTACTTATCTCATTAACCGTGTACCCTCTAGTGTCCTCCACTTCCAAATTCCTCTTGCACGTCTTCCAAATTCCTCCACTGCTTCTCTTCCTCCTCAGGTTTTTGGGAGTGTCTGCTTTGTTCATCTACAACCTCGTACTCGTGGGAAACTTGATCTTAAGACTGTCTGTTGTGTCCTTATTGGCTATTCTGCTACTCAAAAGGGTTACAAATACTATGACCCTCACACTCATAAGGTGTATTTTAGTATGGATGTCACCTTTCGTGAATCTGAGTCCTTTTTTACTTTCCTCTGCTATCTCCTCAAGGGGAGAGTGTTACAGATGAGATTGTAGATGGAGCGATGTCATATCAGCATCAGTTGTCCTTTTCCTTGCTAGTCAACAGGCTATTATTTGTGGTGAGGAGCCTAAGAGTTCTATTGATGGGGAGCTTGACAACACTGGTCGTTTGGACAGGATAGATCTTGACTTATTCCCTGCGTCAAAAAGAGTGGACTTCTCTTGTGCCACTAGGTCAATCATCTTCCCTCATACCAGTTCTTTATCCAGTTTCCACCGACTCTACAAGTAATAATCCTTAGCCTAGTTCTTCACCAATTGTTGATAGCTCTATTGTTGATGATTTGAGTCTCCCTATTGCTCTTAGAAAGGGGGTTGGAGCCTGTACTCAATACCCCATTGCGTCATACGATTCGTCGTCTTCTACATATCGTGCATTCATTTCGTCTCTATCTTTTGTGTGTATCCCATAAGGTTCAAAAAAAGCTATCAATGATCCTAAGTGAAAAGTAGCTATGGTAGAAGAGGTGCAAGCTCTGAACAAGAATAACACTTGGGAGTTGGTTTCTCTTCCTAGTGAAAAAATCAGTAGGGTGTAAGTGAGTGTTCACTATTAAGCAAAATGTAGATGGAACGATTGAACGGTACAAAGTACGACTAATAGCAATGGAATTTACCCAGACATATGGAATTGATTATCAAGAAACTTTTGCCCCTGTACCGAAGATGAATTCCATTCGAGCTATTATTTCATGTACTGCTAACTTGGGATGGCTTTCATAGCAACTAGATGTGAAGAATGCCTTTCTTCATAGTGATTTGGAGGAGGTATATATGGATGTACCTCCATGATTCTCATCTCAATCTATACTTAAAAAAGTTTATAGGTTGAAGAAGGATCTATATGGCTTGAAACAGCCTCCGCGAGCCTGGTTTGGCATATTTCTAAAAGCTATGTTGGGATTTGGGTAGCAAAGCAATGTAGATCATACCATGCTTGTCAAATGCAATGCAAATAAGATATTAGTGCTTATTGTATATGTGGATGACATAGTTGTGACCAGTAATGATGAGGAGGAAGTGACACATCTCAAGATGTAGTTAGCCAAGAAATTTGAGATCAAAGACCTTGACCCATTGAGGTACTTTCTTGGGATTGAAGTTGTCAGGTCTAACAAAGGCATCTTTATTTCTCAAAGGAAGCACATTCTAGATCTTCTTGAGGAAACTGACATATTAGGCTGCTGACCAGATGATTCGCTGATTGAAACTAATCATCATCTTTGCAGTGGTGTTGGTAATCTTGTGGAGAAAGGTACCAACAACTTGTGGGAAGACTTACATATCTATCCCATACTCATCCAGATATTGCCTACGTAGTCGAGATAGTGAATCAGTTTATACATGATCCTCATTCAACCTATTTGGATGCAGTGTATCGCATTTTGAGGTATCTTAAATCCGCTCCTGAAAAAGGAATTTTATTTTCTATTCATGATCGCTTGAGCTTGGAGACGTTCATAGATGCAGATTGGGCAGGCTCTATGGATAACAGATGATCTACCTCCAGTTACTATTCTTTTGTAAGGAGAAATGTAGTCACATGGCATAGTAAGAAGCAAGCAGTGGCATCCAGATCTAGTGCTGAAGCTAGATATAGAGCTATGGCACATGGTACATGTGAACTGATGTGGCTTTGATCCTTGCTGAGTGATATGGGCCTTGAATGCAATGAACCCATGACTCTGTATTGAGATAACAAGGCTACCATAAGCATTGCTCACAATCCTGTTCAACACAATAGGACTAAGCATATTGAGATCAACAGACATTTCATTAAGGAAAAATTGAATAAGGGTTTGATAGGTATACCTTTTGCTAAGTCTGAAGATCAATTGGCGGATGCATTTACTAAGGGTCTTAGTAGTAAGATCTTTCACCCTATTTGTTACAAGTTGGACATGAGAGACATCTTTGCACCAACTTGAGGAGTAATGTTAAGTGTTAGGGTAGTTATGTAATTTGTGTCTTTCTCTTATTATTATTATTATTATAAATAGTTGTGTGTAAGGGGAGAACCCTAAGTTTTGATTCAACAATATTTTTGCAGCCGTTCTCTCTTCAACTTCTTCATCTATACATTCAACAAGTAAGAATAGATAAACATAATTGGAAACTAAGTTACACGGACTCTTCGTTTTTTGGGAGGTACCCGTGTCGACACGACACGACACAACACGAGTACGGGTGCAGGATACGGCCGAGATACGGCTCTGTACAAATGGATACAGGAGAAGAAACGAAAGAGAAGAGAGTAAGAAGAGAACCTGTTGCCGACTTCGAAAGGGCAAGACATCGATCCCTCTGTCGCCGACTTCGATCCCCCTGCTCACGTCCTTCGACTTTGTCTTCGTGGACTTCAACTTCGTCTAGCGCCCTTTGACTTCGACTTCGTCTTCGACAAGCACGACTGTAAGGCCCTCTCTCTTTCTCTGTCACGTCTCTCTCTCTCTCTCGCTCGCTCTCTTTCTTCTATTCTAGATCTGCCTTTTGATCTGCCCCTTTCTCTCTCCCTCTCTCTCTCTCTCTCTTTTATTCTTTATTTATTATATTTCATCTCTCTTTTATTCTTTTTATAAAAATATTTTTTAAAAAAAAATTGGGCTGAACCAGTTAAATAAAATTTTGGGCTACTAAACTTTGGGCCTAATAAAATTTTGGTCAACAAATCTTTTAATACCATGGGCTATTATGTAGCTAATTTATATGTTTGGTCCATAAATTATATATAAAAACATTATTGGGTCAACTTTTTAACTCATGTTTATAAAAAATATATATTTAAGAAATAATTATTTGACGTATCCCCATATCTGTATCCAAATTTGGATCTGTATCCACGTATCCTTCATTTTTAGTTTTGAGGTGTCTGACCCTTAGATACACACCTGCACCCGATAGCCGCACCCGAGTCTGTGTAACATAGATTAGAAATGAATATATTCATAAAATAGTATGGGTAACACCAATTGAAGATAAGTTGAGAGAAAATGGGCTAAAGATGGTTTGATCATATAACTAAGCTCAATAGATGCAAGGGTAAGGAAGAGTAACATAATCACCTTAAATAAATAGAGAGGGGGAGACCTAAATTGACATGGATAGTTGAAAAATATGAATTTATTTAATTTAACTGAGTATAGCCTTTGACAAAGCAGAATAACTATGAAAAAGGATTCATAATTTCATGTAGCGACCCCACTTGTGTGGGACACGAGGCATGGTTTGACTTATATAATCCCATGCAATTTTTGCTCTCTAACATATGACATCATGACAAAAAGCTATGTAGGGCGTGATGGTTCATAATCCCCACTTATATACAAAGACACTCATAAAAAGCCAAATCCTTTCAACACATAGCTCGTTCAAGCCTATCCATTGTAATCATAGGCATGATGTTTTTACGAGGTCGACCATTTTACAGTTTTTTTTTTTTCCTTTTAGCTCATCCTTGTAATGCCTCTAATTTGAATCAAATCACTTCTCCTTTGTTCTTATTCGTCCATCACCAACACTCATTTCACATTGCCGAAGCATCCTTAACACCTTTCCCTTATTTACCAAACCAAATAAAGCCTAGTGTCCTAATCAATTAGGTTACACCTTTACCTTCTTTAAAAATAATATCCACATTTTCAATTGCTAAGACATACTTCTTTTATAGCTTGCTCACAAAATATTGGATAAAGTATTCCTTGGGTATCAAAATGCCATGAAAACTGCCCGCTGTGGAAATCATTACTAAAAGCTAAAAAGAACTCTCTTGCATTGTACATTCTGTAGGAGTGAAATTAGTCTTTGTTTTGTAGCAGTTCATGGAATACATCATCCTTACAATTGGAGATATTGAGAAAAAAGAAAGCACAGTACACTACAAAAATTAACACAAAATAGAAAAGAAATTAATACAAAAACTTTAAATTATTCCTTTTACTAATGTCCTATAAATGAAATTAGATTTAGAATTTACAGGATAGATGCAATTCTACAGAAAAGTGATTGAGCTTAAGCTTACTTCAAAAACCATGCAAAGGACAACAGAATAGCATCCTTCAAAGGGATGCTAGAGCAGTAATTATAAAGTAAACAACAATGGAAGTGGTCAGTAAAGAAGTAACCATGCATTGTTAGAAAATGAAACCAGCCCACTAACCACAACATACAAGGAAACATAACATAGAAGGATAAAGAAATCAAGTCATCAGAATTTACCTTTGTTCTTATACTAGTAAAACCACCATTGTTTGCAGTGGAAACAACACCTAAAGGAGACACAAAATATAAATTAAACAAAAAATGTATTCAAAATATTAAGACCAAACACCATTTTCTACTGGAAAAATGTATGCTGCATAATTCTTCCAGAACAGCAAAACACAGGCACATGTAGGTATGAGGAGTTAAAATCGAAACCTTTGAAAAGCCCAGATGGTCCACCATTCTCGCCACCTGTTGGATCAATTTGAAATGTACTTTCACTAACTCCTCCCATCACTACGTCATCTAAAGCACCCCAAGCAAGATCTCTAGATGAATTTCCTACATGAAATTGAAATAGAAGTGGATCCACAAAATCAAAAAGAATCTTAATTAGAATAGACCAATGCAAGTAGACAAAGGAATCATAATAAGCATGCCCTAAGGGCATTGGTTAAAAACCATTTTCCAGAGCAATAGATCAAATTATAGTGTTCACCAAAAAAATTAAATTATGTCGGCTTTTGTTAACGACTGCAATAAGAGCATTAGTTAACAAAGTATGAAATAGTTGTATATTCCTCAACTACCCACTTTATCAGAGAATGTACAATCATATTAAATCTGTAAATGACTTCCCTAAGGGCACCTATAGACACCCCATGTTGATTGATCCTAAAATTTTGGGCGCCTGCAAGCCTCTCGATGATGAAATGGTAATTACTTCATCCTTGAAATATTTAAAATTGCTTAGAGTTGTTGTATAAACCTATTTTGGCCAAAAATCAACTTTTTGCAAAAATGACCATTTTACCCCTGGACCCATTTTTAGCCAAAAAAAACCCATTTTTTAACCCTAGGAAAGAGATAGAAGCCCGGTTGTGCGTTGATCAAATACATTTTCCAAAACTAATGATTAGTTTTATCAAAAACATTGATCAGAAGGCAATTCAGGTTTACCTGAGCCACAAGCAAGCCAAGGGCATGAGACTCCACACTTGTGCATGCATGCATGGCACGTGTACCAAGGCAAAAACGTGAGTGCACACATTAGTTGTGATTGCGCACAAGGTTTGTGCGTGCGCACATCCAAACGTGACAAAGTTATTTTTGATAACTCAATCTTGGTGCATTTCTGGTAGGGGGAGGAAGAGAAAGCGATGGGAGTTGTCCTAGCTTGCCCCACATGCCTCCTACTGCCTATATAAGCACCCTCTCCCCTTCCCTTTCAAGGGGTTAAGAATTTTGAGCTATTTTTGTAAGTTTAAGAGCCAAACACCACACCTCCTCTCTCCCTCTCCCCTTATCGAAAATACCCTACCACACAACAACTCTAGACTTTTGAGGATCATCCTAAGGCTGAAGAACTCAAAGAAAACCTTGGCTTGAGAGAGGCTTGGAAACAAGGAACTTTGCTTTTTCTTGCTTCTATTTTACATGCTATTTGGTTCTTGAGAACCAGCAGGCGTTTTCTTATTGCTTTTAAGATTTCAATACCTATTTCTTCTTCCCACTATGTAAGCACATAGGGTAGTAATCATGGCATGATCATCATGTAACTCATATAGTTTGCCCATTTTACTCACTTTCTCACCTCTTTCTAGCATGTTTCTTTTATGCCATTAGAACAGCATGTTTTAGGCTCACTTTAATCATGTAATAAGCATGCATAAGTTTTGCTTGATCATCATATAGTTCAGAGATATTTTTGTTTTTTTACTTAATAGTTGCTTCTCTTGCATAATCACCATGTTAGTAGCCTCAAGCCGGATTTAGGATCATATTTTGCATGTTTAGAAGCAGATTATGTCATATTTAATTTTTGCATGCATGAAAGACCCCGAAAGTAGGCAACCGAGTAAGTCTCCTTGAACTTCATAGCATATGCTTGTTCTTTGTTGCATTATTATTTAAATAATCCAAGTTAAATGCTCTTTATTGCAAAATTGTATGTTTTGTATGTTTTCATAAATATTGTGCATTTTAGTTTATGTTTCAGGACAAGGCAGTAATCTCGACGGAGACTAGGATGAGCTTTGATGAATAAAATAAAAATTGGTAGATATTCGCATAGGTATGGGTTATCAAAAATCCACTTTTAATAGAAAAATCACTTTTTATGAAAAATATGCCTTTATTCATTCAATCTAAAATATATGATATTTATTTTTACTCCAATCACATAGTTTTAGGTTAGTCAAACGTTTTAGGGCTTAAAATGAATTTATGTGAAAAATTAACCATTAAAATCATAAAATAGAAAGTGAGTAGAAGCCAATCTTCGGATTGGGCAAGAGGGGATGCTAGCATTCAATGACCTTCCCTCTTGTATCCAAGCTGCTGAACACGGAATTTTCTTGGTTGTAATGGACTGGTCCTTAACTTAGTTTTCATTATTAAAGGTTTCTTAATTCCCCTTAAAAAATTAAGCAACGACTCTTTGTTGGTCAAAGCAAGTCAGTGTGGGATGCATGCTTTAGACTCGAAAAAGGCATAACACCCACAGCACCCATTAACAAGAACTTTCTAAATATAAGGAAGTAAACAAAATGCCCCCAAAATTCCAGAAAATGTAAAATGACAGAACTATCCTCAAAGTTTAATCCTCTGACAGAACAAAAAAATCGAGCAACAATTCCTTCAAAAAGCAAGGACGATTTGGGTTGAATCACACATCAGCAACCATTGCTGCACAGGGTAACCCCCGGGAAAAGGAAATGAACAGGATTGTAATCATGGAGTTCTGCATAGCAGCAAGTAGCAAATTGGCCAAGTAGAACAATTTGGTTTGTATGCATGCATAGCTATCAGGCTGCACAACTCTACTAACAATCAAAAGTTACATAAATCAGCACACATTCTTTAATAATTTGGGGGTTTCTGAGTATTCTCAGTTAAGTAAAAGTCAACTACTTTGCATCCATTTCTAGATAAATCCACTCAAAGTAACTTGCAACTGTTTCCGTGATCTTCATAATGTACATGAGATACAGAGGCAACAGTAAATTCATGAGATATACTTGAAATTGATATGAAAATTGCAACTGTAAATTCATTCCAAATAACAAATGTGTTTACTTTGCCTTGCATACCTCGCTAACCTTAGGTATGTAATAAAAGATGAAAATGCAATCATGTGGCAATATGGAGAGTAATTAGAGCCTCGCAATTACAAGAGTGTACCTTCAAATCCATAAACTAGTTTTCCAGTTCGAAGGCCAACACTCCCCTTTACAGCATTAATCAAGTTTTTCATCCCAATGAATTCTACCTTCTCAGGCGAATCACCTTTTATCTGTTTTGGTCAATAGAAAATAAAACAAAATTAAATTAAATATTAAAAAACTATTTTAATCAAAAACCACATGCTTATATGGTAGAAAAATGAATGGGAGAAGCAAACAGATTTCCAAAATAAGCTTCCTATTTAAATACAAATCTGACATCGAAGGCATTGAATAGACAATGGATTCAGCACCTCTGGTTCGAAGAACTTGATCCCCTGTTCAACATCAGATTTCAGTGTTCAGCATATGAAATTTTGAACAACCAATGCAGAAGGATACGGGCAATTTTAAACTAAAGGTAAAAAGCACAACAATTTGATGCATAATCATGCTAGGAAACTTAACATTACACCAATTCAACTTCATAGAGAAGAAAATGCTATTCATCAATTTTAGAATGTACAAACTTACTTGGCTGTACTTTGCCCTCTCGGGAGTGTCCCCTTCCTTTGGGCCAACAATGACTGATACAGCATTAATAACTTTCTTCACTCCTTTGAAGTACTCAGGGACCAGAGTGCTCTCCTTGGTAATATCTCCAACAACCTAAATTTTTTGAAAATTAGAATACACTAAAAGAATACTGAAAAAATAAATATGATCTACTTTCAAAAGTAGTAACCCAACCGGCACTAATACAAAAGAATCAATTCCTGACAAGAACTAGAACTTCAAACATCTCATTGTGAAGGAAATAACCAAATTACTGCATTCAATTTTCCCCAGTAGCGTTGGGAAGCAGTCAATACCCAAAACTGGCCTTGTATGGAACTTCAAATATATGTTTGCAAACCAAAATAAAATAAAATTTGAGAACAGATCAAGCAACTTCACATATAGACTGATTAACAATGAATTAAAAAAAAATCATCTTTTGTTTTTAAAAGAACGGGGTAAACAATTTCTTGTGACAGGAAATGCATATATAACATATATGATTAATGAGATAATTTTATAACTCTGGCACCATCAAACAAAATATCAAAATTTTCAGTGAGGCATAAGAAATTGTAATCACATGCAAGAATTCATAAAGCTATCACAATTAATGTATTATCATATGAAACAATACTCATTGACTACATTCTCACATCCATATAGACATCATAGTTGATGCTAGAAACAAGTAAACAAAATCTGTACGGGTTAAGTCCTATGCAAAGTTGTTACCCCTCTCTCCTAACCAAGTAGCTGAAATAATTCCAACTGGTCACAATATCACTCTCCTGATGCAATGATGGCACCAATCATTAAAGTCAAAAGCTGGCTGCCATGATCATCCTTTACAGTATCCAACAGGTCAAAAACTCTCATTATCCAGTTGTTTTAATGACACCAATCTTCATATGTACATAACTCACTGGCATTATCATCCTTCAGCGATCGATAACTCCCACTTCACCAGTATAGCTTTCACACTCCATCAGGATTTTAACCATGGTATAATATCAGATGACTCCACACAACCCCACTAGAATGGGTGTCTGCGAAATAATTTACCATGTCAAGAACAGCTCATTTAATAGCATGTCCACCAACTTATTTTGGTCTGCAAAATCTAAGTCATCTTGTGTACTGCATGAAAATTGAACTTCACTCTCCAGTTCTCTTGATCTGTGAAATCTAGATGAAGTCAAAGGGAATCGTGCTCCTCTCCAATTCAAGTTTTCCCTCAATTTCCAAAAAAAGTCCTTGAATACTCTCCCTCCACATTTGCAAATAAGCATCAATGTTTATGAATCAAATGAATCAACCAAGTCATCAAAACATTTTTAGCCCACAGAGTGGCACTAAGAGTGATGGGATTTATTTATTTGGATCTTGATTGAAATTAAAATCATTCAGATTTTTATCCATTGCTGTGGGCATCCAAAAAATTTCAATGGCGATAAAGCTTGAGGCCCTAAACAAAGATGTAATCGGCAATCTTTTGGGGTTAATTCTTGCATTCAAGGCCTCTTCCAAGAAAATTTTAATATCAAGAAATTGCACTACTCTCTAATTGAAGATGGTGACGGTGTTGGCAACTTGGCAACAATTATGGCAGTAATATATGATGTTAATGGAGTGTACCATAACAATTAACATGGTTACAGAATGTGGAAGTAGATACGGCAAAGCAAAATGTGGCTGAATCTTAGCCTTTTATGACACGGATGTCAAGGACCAATTGTATCAAAAGCTTAAGATGTTAGGAAATGGGCCCAACAATGTTTATCAAGCCATCCAACAGTGGAATGCATCTAGAGCTCCACAGGGGCAATTGAGAGAAGCCTATCCTAGAAAGGAACCACAGCCAAAAGATACCAAGGAATCACTGGTCAATCACCTCATCCAGCTGTTCCCAAATCAATGGTCAGAAATTTTTATCATTAGAACCATATTTCAAAGTTCTGGTAATGACAAAATATAATTGAAATTGATACCTTTTGCAAGTGGCATATTTTAAGGACACCAAAAAACACTAATGCCAGTATCCACTTCAAATCACTTTCCATCCTGACCATGTACAGTAAATTCCAGCAGGTTTACCAGAGGGTTTCTATGGATTACTAACACTACAGCCATCTGCAGTCTGCATCACAGAATTGTAAAGGGAGAACCCACTCTATAAAGGCTAAGATAGCAAACTAAAATTTATTGAATCTATTAGTCCATCTCAGAATATAGACATGAAGCCTAATATAACAAATGGATAGATAATAGAAGAAACAAAGGTTATCACAAATTAATAGATCAGTCAACTTGAAATACATGGTACAATGGTTGAACAAGTTTAGTTTACACCTGAAAGGCTTCCAAGAGTAAAAGAGGGAATCAATGCGATATAACATTCTATTCTACTGAATCAACAACAGGTTAGAAAGCCTCACTTTTCACATACTGATACTCCTTGGATATTCATGGATACGTATCAAATACTTAGTATAAGTATCATATACTTCTTAGTTAATTTTTCATTAATTTTGGAGAATTGGATACTTGGTTTTGAAGTAATGGATACTTCAAGTCACGTATTACTTCTAATATTTTGTTTAGTTCTTTGATAAGAAGAACGTAGTGAGAGTCCAAGTAATAGAATTTGTCAAATTGATGTATCCTTCTCGTTTCATGCATGTCCCCTATAAATACATATAAAGTCAGGATTAACAAAAGAATAGAACAATAGTAAAATTAAATATCAATAACTAAATACGCAAAGTAAACTTGAATACAACATTTTGTTAGTGCCAAGGGAAAAACACAAGGACAAGCCGTGGATCGTTCTACTATTGTAATATAAACATATTAGACTTGATATTGAAATGAAATATTTACAAGATCTATTGAAAATAATTAAAAATAAAAATGCAACTGTCTTAAATTAATTCTTGAAGGTTAGTGTTTTGCATTATAAAATTACAATGTGGTCTCAACATTCTTGAGTTCATGTGTCACTTCACTACTAATAATTTTAAAAAATTATCTTTTTTACAAACGTATCCTAACCGTACCCATATCCTATTTTTTAAAATTTTTTCGTATCGACATATTCTTAACTGTATCTATATCCATATCCATATCTCATATCGGTATTCATGCTTCCTAGGTCTAATGTATGTTTCTCGTGCAAGTCTATGCCATTTACGTTGCCCAGATTTGTATGTATCCATTTCATTTAGTCTCATTGTAACTTAAATGCCATGTCTTCCCAGGTCTGCATTTCATGCCTTACTCCGCGTGTATTTATTAAGTACATAATTCATCAGATTAGTACGATAATCCTGACAATGATCTACTTCATGATATCAAAAATAAATAAATAAATAATTAAAAAAAAAAAAACTTGAAGCAAAACTTTGGGCAAGAGCATAATCATAGTCAATTAATTATCAACTCTTTAACAATGAATTAACTCACTAAGTCAATGTCTGGACCTAGCATGCTTCTTGCCTTCTCTTCATTTCTGACCTGCAAAAGGTTCAATATAAGAACAAAGCAAAAGACAGAAGGGAATATGAGAAAGATCCCATAAGATATCAGCACATCTACAGCTCCAGAGCTCCACCAGCTCAGTAGGAAATCAGGGATACATCAATTAGGCATTAGCAAAGTACCAATAATCGGACAGGCAATCCTTTCTTGCGTAAGATGTTAACTACTCTTCTCCCAACACCACCAGTGGCTCCAGCAACTAGCACGATCCCAGAAGTGTCCATAGCCTTTACTGGTTCACTAGGTGATGGACCAGACAGTTTCTCAATTAGAAACTCAAAGAACTACAAAAATAAAAGAATCTGGTTAGATGGGCATGAAAAAGCTTGAACAATAGGTGCAAAAAAATAAAAATAAAATAAAGTTGGAGAGGAGCCAAGACCAACCTTAGCAGGAGATGGAGGCCCATTAAAAAAGTATAATGTCCTAACAAATCTCCCGAAGTCCCACCCTTGCTTTCCAGCTTCTGCAAAAATGGGACGCTTATATGTTCTCAAAGGGTAACAAGAAGAGGATTGTTGGTAAACAATGGGCTCCAATCTGTCATTAAGTTGAAGAAATGGTTTAGAAAGTGGAGAAGACAGCACCCCAGGACATAAGGTTGTCTTAGAAAATCTTCTACCGACAGATGATGAAACACCCTGCAATACCAATGGCCTTAGTTACCATAAATAAAATTACCATAGCTTCAGAAATGAATGCAAAGGAACAACAATTCCACCAACTATTAACCTAATAACTAGTTTAGTTCAGTAAATTTGACTCTAGGAAATACATGCATGGATTGTTGGTTCATATGGTTTGTCAATTTAACCAGGAGACACCTGGATGCATGACATCTTTGAAATTCATGAATTAAATGGCAGGAATAACTTATAAAATCAATTTTCTTAGAATAAACATTGAGAACTAATTTGAAGTATATTTGCAGATATTATAAGACTATTCTGGAAATTTGGGAATTATAAGAGCTTACTCTGAAATCTGCGAGCTGTCTCTAGTAAGAGTATTCATGAATAACCATATAGTTGACATAGAATTCATGTAGCAAACATAAAATAGTAGTGTAAAACATGGTTGCACAAACAGAATTTTTTTTCTACTAATCCTTCTTTTTGTATTAATGATGACAAAAGGAGAACAACAAAAATCAAAAGCTCACACCAGTCAGATACTCTTCTCAAATCATTTAATTTGTAGGGTTGTCTTCACTTTTTTGGCTCATGTAGTAGAGTGTGCAAAACCAACTAGCACCAGTATGAAGGAGTGCTTTTGTCAACTTGAGGTGAGGTAGGTTGAGTTGAGTTGAAGATCTACTTTTACTATTGGTTCGTAGCATACAAATGGCACGCCAAAACCATTTACATCAAACAAGCCAACAAACATTAATCTAAGTCAATTGGAAATACTAACTCAACAATCACAAGGGCATTACCAAATCAAACTAAGCCTTGTATCCCACTCAAGTGGGATTGGCTACAGGAATCTTTTAACGCCATTATGCTTTATCAAGGGTTATATGCTTAGTTAATTTTTTTTTTTTTTTTTTTTTCTACCACATGACATGACAGTTTAACTCTTCTCATTAATATTTTCATTTATGGTATTCATATTACACATCGTTACCATTGCATTATAGGTCTTCGTTGTACATGACCACGCCATTTAGTCTATTCTCTCTCAAGTTATCTTTAATTATGTTACTCCTATCATTTCCCGAATATATTCATTTCTAATTCTATCTTTTGTAGTCTTACAGTAACACATCCATCTAAGCAAGCTCATCTCAGCTACACTCATTTAATATATGTGTTATTTCATAATTATAGAACATTTTGCCCATAAAGTATCATTGGCCTTATATTTCTATCAAATTTTCCTATCAATTTTGATGATATTCGTCAATCACATAATATGTCAAACCCATTCCTCTACTTGAGCCAACCTACTTTGATTCTATGGATCACATCATCTCTAACCTCACCATACTTATTAATAATTGAACCTAGGTAACAAAAATGATTACTATTTATTATGTCCTAATTTTCAATCTTCAGTTCAACATTATTTTACTTCTATTGTCACTAAAATTACATTCCATATATTTAGTTTTTCTACTAATTTTAAACCCTTTTGACTCAAGTACTCTCCAGATTTCTAATTTAGTGTTAATTTCTTCCTTAGTTTCATCTACTAGAACAATATAATCTACGAACAACATACATCATGGGACATCAACTTGAATGTTTTCAGTTATTTCATCTATGACTAAGCCAAATAGGTAAGGACTCAAAAGTTTACCCTTCATATAGGCCTACAATGATTGAAAATTCACTAGTTTCTCCTACAGGTGCTCTAATTGTAATCACAACTCCACCGTCATATCTTTTATTGCATCAATATACCTTTTGGTTATACATTTTTCTCCAATAGATTTTTCTAGGTATCCTATCATAAGCGTTTTCAAAATTTGTACAAAATCACATGTAGATCTCTCATTTTCTCTTTACACTCTCCTATTAATCTTCTTAATAAATAGAAGAACTTGATAAAACATATTAACGTATCCTCCCAATAATATATGACAAATGTAAGGCCACAGATATAATACAAGTTAAATGATAAATTAACTGAGAATCTTCTTTGTAAATATATCACTTCCATAGTTGAGCTATCGGGCACAAGTCCAAATTGATTTTGTGACATCGTTGTTATAATCCTTAATCGATACTCAATCACTCTCTCTCACAATTTCATTGTATGGCTCATTAATTTAACACTTCTATATGTGTTGCAATTTTGAATATCTCTTTCATTTTATATGTAGTTATTCAAATACTTTTTTCTATTGAATTCGGAGATTTATTGAAAATAGGTGATGGATATAGATAATTGTGAATTTTCTATAGAATTTTTTTTTTTTTTTTTTTGATAACTCGTATCTGATCCACTGGACTAACTAATGAGAGCACAAATTCTGCCGTCCATTAGTGTGGGGCCCAATTAAAGCCAGGGCAAAGCCCTCTATGCACTGACACCTACTCCAAGAAATTGTTTGTATCTAAGAGGTTTTGAATTGTTGAATTTTAAGGGTTTGTTTGATTTAGTTTTAGAATTATGATTTAGTGTGGAGTTGTATTTTGAGTTTTGAGTTTTCGAATCATTATTTGCAAAAAGAAAATTTATTTAGTTATGAGTTTTGAAAATAGTTTTGAGATGATTTGTAATTTTTTTTTTTTTTAATTGATTTATGTATTGAGATAATGTGAGAGAATATGAGAGAAGAGAGGAGAGATGAGAGAAAAATAAAGTAATTGATTGATTGATTAATAATAATAATAAAAGAGAAGAGAGGAATTTTGAATGTAATTTTGAGTTGTATTTTAAAAATATGTTTTGGTAACATGTTTCATTCAAATCCTGATTTAAAAACAGAATTGAGTTTTGAAAAGTAAACCAAAGGTTAACTAAGTTTTTGGATGTCACCACTAGCACTAAAAAAAAAAATTAAAAAGAATAAAAATTCTGAAGTTGCCATTGTTTATAGTGATATTATAATATATGTGTGTATAAAACCCCAAAACATTATCAATTCCAACCAAACAAACTGGCCATTCTATGTAGGACAACAACAGAGCTTTACATCCCAAATCAACCATCTACCCATGCGTGTAATACCTATGCAATACACACACGCATATATATATAAATATATAAACACATGTAAGAGAGTTGGAAACAAAGGGAATGAAATAATAATGCTATTTGTGAAGAGGGGTATATACCTGAAAGTTGGAAATGGCAGGAGATGGAGTTGAAGATGTATTGGTGGAAATGTAATAGCAACACTCCATTGTCAACCTACTACAGAGCGAGAGAGAGAGAGAGAGAGAGAGAGATTATTAGAGAGAAAATTATAAATAGTGTACTTGAAGTCGATATGAATTGTTGATAAATACGCTTGAATTCCAGGAACAAATATAGACCACTCGAAGGGCCAAATAAGGCGGCATGGGGAAAATATCAGTAGCAGTAAAGTGGGAGTCGGAATAAATAATATACCATTTCACTCCTATTTTTTAATTAGGATTCCCTCCTTGATTTCTTAGTTGTTGGGTTATTGAACCCTTTTTTAGGCTTAATTTTAACAATTTAAACCGTTTAGTTTTTAAAATTTGTTAAGTATATCATATCTGTAAAATATCAAATTAATCGGATATTAGAAAACATATATTCGGATCATCGAATTAAAAACCATTTTTTCAAAAAAATTTAATAAGCAGTTTTCCAAATACAAATTTTCTGATATCCGATCAACTTAATTTTTTACAGGTACGATATACTTAACAAATCTTAAAATGTGAACGATTCGAATTATCGAAATTGGACCTAAAAATGAACTCAATAACCTAAGTAAGAAATTACGATAGGCTGCAGGTTTGCTAAATTACATTATTACCCCTATTCCTCAATCTTTTAAAAAAATAAAGTGAAGGGTAAATTTGTAATTTCAATTTAAACATCATTTCAAACACTTTTTTCAATACAACAATCAACCTAAAAATTTAACTCAACTTCTCAAACACAAAACTAAAATAACCTACTAAAATAGTCAAAAAGCCAAATAGCCTACTAAAATAGCCACTTCCCAAACGAGGCCAATATACCATTTCACTCCTATTTTTTAATTAGGGTTCCCTCCTTGATTTCTTAGTTGTTGGGTTATTGAGCCCATTTTTAGGCTTAATTTTGACAATATAAACAGTTTATTTTTTAAGATTTATTGAGTATATCATATCTGTAAAAAATCAAGTTGATTGGATATTAGAAAGCATATGTTCGGATCATCGAATTAAAAATCATTTTTTAAAAAAATTTAATAAGCAGTTTTCCAAATACAAACTTTCTGATATCCGATCAACTTGATTTTTTTTTTAAGTATGATATACTCAGCAAATCTTAAAATATGAACGGTTCGAATTATCGAAATTGAGCCTAAAAATGAATTCAATAACCTAGCAAGTAATAAATTAGGAAGGAAATTCAAGGAGGAAATCCTGACTCTATTTTTGTAAGAAAAATTATTTACGTAGTGCACATTATTAATGATGTTCGCATACAAAATTTGAAACAAATATCCAATATTCAGATTTAAAGTTGTAAGTAAAAATAAATTATTTAAATATATATTTTGTTTAATTATTTATATCCAAATAATTGTTTTATGTTCATAATTTTATATCCGAACATTTGACTTTTATTTGAATATTTATATTCGAATACTATTTGTAATATATATTGAGAGTTTGTAGCAAATAGAATTACCCTTTTTGTAAGTGTGTGTTTTGTTTGATTTCAAAAACTATTTTAGATGAGTTTTTATTTATTTTTATTGAATTGTTTTGATATTTTAATTAATTTTTTCTTTATAAATATATCTAATCAAGATGCATTTAGAAAGTAAAATAACTTGACTAAAAATATTAAAAAATATATCACTAAAAGTAAACGAAAATTAGAATAAAAATATGTATACATTTTTGTTTGGGTTTTTATTTGTTTTTAGTGAATTTATTTTATATTTTAGTTAAATTTTTTTACTTTTTAAATGTATCCTATCTTATATATTTAAAAAGTACAAAAAATAACTAAAATATGAAAAGAAAAAAAAATCAATAAAGACAAGCAAAAATTCATCTAAAAATAATTTTTAAAAATTATTACCAAATTTTATCATATTAATTAAAAAATAATATATTTATTTTTAAATCATATATCTGGTTTATTTTATTGAAAACCTATGTAATAAAAATAAGGGAAATTATTTAATAGTTGGCTAGATTAAAAAAAAAAAAAAAAAAACCCAAAACATAGAGGGGTGCAACTTGTACCTTCACAATTTTTTACTTACACTCCATCACAAAATCAATTATATCTCCAATATTTTTATAATTTTTTTTTTCAAAATTAAATAATTGCCCCATAAAAGCATGTAAATATTAATTATCATACCGGTCAATCTTTTTTTAAGAATTATCATCGAAGTGAAAGTGGGATTGCAGTAGCTAATGAGACTCAACTCAAGACCAGCGCAAAAATATCACCGCATGACAGGTTCAAAGCCAATTTTTTTCGAGTGATTCTATTTATATCATTATTTTATTTTTTTATTTTTTTTATTTTATTATATTATTAAAAAATTACAATTCTCATTATGCTTATTATACTTTCAAAACTAACAATAAAATAAGACTTTTCAAAATCCTTTCATCTCTTTACGCAAATAATTTTTTAAGAAAAAATAAGAGAACAGAGAAAGCCGCAAATAATTTTTTAAGAAAAAATAAGAGAACAGAGAAAGCCGCAGTAAGAGAAAAAAGAAAGACATAGGAAAGACAGTGAGTGGAGCCCACAATGAAGTGCATGTTCGGTCATACACTGCCAAACATTTTACATTCCTCCAGTGTTATGTTGCCAGAAAAAATAAATTTCTCCAGCGTTTTGTTACTATACATTTACAGAACCACTTTCTTCCAAATAATGATTTTTGAATTTCTGTTGGGCCTGTTCGGTGATACAATACTAATGAATTTGAATTAATCCAGTGCCATATTACGAGACAAACTTTTTTTTTTTCCCAGCAATATGTTGTCGTTCAATTAGATGATAACAAGAAATTAATTCGGGGCTACTTGTGAAGTGTCTGTTTGGTAATACATTGCTACACAAATTAGATTGCTCTAATGTCATGTTGCTAAACTATAATAGATTTGTCTAATCACCTGTCTTGTACGTTGCAAGATCTACTTTTTCTTTCAAGCTTTTATTAAAAAAAAAAACAAAAAAAGATCTATAAATCAAACATGCATCCATAAAACCATACATAAAAGTATCCATAAAAATATTCATAAAAACATCAAGTGTATGAATATTCATAAAGGCATCCATAAAATCTGTCATTATTTGCATCCATCCATCAAACATATATCGCAATTCATCTATATTTATTGTTTTGGTAGTTACTACATTAGGGCTAACAAGCTTACGGAATTGATGAATATTGATAGTATATGCTTTCTTCCATCCATTAACACACAGATGATGAAAATGAATCCAATTATTTGCTATCGGAGGTATTGGATGACCAGGTTGTAGATAAACTTATAACAAAGATATCAATAAGTAGAATTACAAAATAAGACATGATAATGATCTAAGTAGGCTTGATAGTTTATACCTGCACGAAATAGTTTCCTTTAACAAATCCTATGCAGATATCTCTTCGATCAAGTGTAGTAATCGGTACTGATCTAAATGGTAGAAACATCAAGCACTATTGCATGGATAAATGATAAAGAACAACTCGGTAGTATGATGCTATCAAATGGCCCATGTCGGGTATAGTCATCTAATGATTAAGTCCAGGGCCAAGTTCGAGTAGTAGGATAAGATAGAGATAAGGTCATCAACCTTTTCCTGTGAACCAAATAGTTACACATAGTACACTACATTCGATTGCTGCTTAAGTGTAAATCTTGATTGCCATTATATCCCGCATCTAATGTCTTTATAACAATAAAAAATACAGTCTTCTTCCCAACGTCAAAAGCCCATTTTATTAATGATTGATGACTGCTAAAAATCTAAAGATAATAAATACATTTATACATCAAAATATTAATAAAACTCAATACAAATAAAAAAATAAGAAAAATTGTATTCATAAAACAACTTAACAAACCTCATCTGTAATGAGTTTATGACTAGAGTCCATTAATAATACAATACTTGCATTGTTGTAATGAGTAGAAGCATAATCCTTCCAAGCAAAAAATAAAAAATATTAAAAAAAAATGAAACTGAAATATACAGTAATGAGTAGCTGAATAAATTAAACAAATTCGTCCTTGGGTTACCAGAAATGTATCTATTATTCAGTCATTGGTTAACAGACATATATTTTTTGTTCGGCCATGTGATGCCAGACTATTTTATTTTGTTCAATTTCGAAACACCAAACAAAAGTCAAAGAATAGTCCAGAAAAACGAAACAAAAAACCTACCAAACAAATAAAAAAAAACTCACTATTTCACTTTTTTGATGGTTCATCACCATCGTTTCTTCATCCATTGCTTTCTTCTATCATCAAAACACTATGATTCTTACTTTTTGAAAAGAGATGTGTAAGAGAGAAGAAAATTTGAAAAAGGAAGAAGATGAGTAGGAATTGAAGACTAAGGGGTATAAGGAAATAATAAAATATATTTAATTTTAATGTTTTGTCCTTAAAGGTAATTTCACACATGGGTAACATTGGAGAAAAAAACATCTCATATGGAGGGTGTAAAGAGGTAAAGTAGCGATATAAGTAGAATCACTCTTTTAGTCTCTTGTAATGTCTAATTAAGGAGACAAAATGAATTTCTTAGACAAAAAACTCTTTCTCTTTTATTTTATATTTTTCCCTTCTTAATGTCATACTTTTTTACCATGGTTACTGTCCATTGTCACCCACCAAATGCCAAATACATTCAAGATTCTAACAATTATCATTGATAACCACCATTGTCGACAGCATGACAAAATCACCCCTCATCATTCTTCCACTAGTCTCGGCAACTAACACCACCACCTCTAGTCCCTCCCCACCCCTTCCTATCATGGCCATCACCACTATCACTTTCCCCAACCCCCTCTCCCATTCCCTCATGTCATGACCTAACATCCTCTCCTGCTATTGTGAAATGTGATTGATACAAACGTATATGTGTTTGGTACAATTGCAATATGTTCATAGTGTAAATGACAAATGTGGCAACCAACCTACATGGTTTGCATTTTCCACTAGTGCATAAATTGCACTTGCATCAAGCCAACAACATCAGTTAGGGTGTTGGATTGCAATAGAAAAGGGATGGAGGAATAGATAGCTATGAATGGCTAGG